TGTTCCTGATGTCTAACGTGTACATAACCTACTGTTCCTGATGTCTAACGTGTACATAGCCTATTGTTCCTGATGTCTAACATGTACATAACCTACTGTTCCTGATGTCTAACGTGTACATAACCTACTGTTCCTGATGTCACATCATTATCTGTAGCATCGTTACTTGTCAAGTCGTTACCCGCCATGTTGTCACTTGTCCACTCGTCACTTGTCCACTCGTCACCTGTCCCGTTAATTTTGTACAGGTCTTGATGCAACCATTGCTCACATAGTGGCCACTACACCTGAGCTACAGGAGTTAGAGGAGTCAATTGGCAGTCAGACCCCAGACAGTGGTGTCCGAGGATCCCTCAGTAGGTGGGGATTTGATAAGTTAGAGGAGTAGATGGTCAGTCTGACCCCAGACAGTGGTGTCCGAGGATCCCTCAGCAGGTGGGTATTTGATAAGTAAGAGGAGTAGATGGTCAGTCTGACCCCAGACAGTGGTGTCTGAGGATCCCTCAGTAGGTGGGGATTTGATAAGTTAGAGGAGTAGATGGTCAGTCTGACCCCAGACAGTGGTGTCTGAGGATCCCTCAGTAGGTGGGTATTTGATAAGTAAGAGGAGTAGATGGTCAGTCAGACCTCAAACAGTGGTGTCTGAGGATCCCTCAGTAGGTGGGTATTTGATAAGTTAGAGGAGTAGATGTTCAGTCAGACCCCAGACAGTGGTGTCCGCGGATCCCTCAGTAGGTGGGTATTTGATAATTTAGAGGAGTAGATGGTCAGTCAGACCTCAAACAGTGGTGTCTGAGGATCCCTCAGTAGGGGGGTATTTGATAAGTAAGAGGAGTAGATGGGCAGGCAGACCTCAGACAGTGGTGTCTGAGGATCCCTCAGTAGGTGGGTATTTGATGAGTAAGAGGAGGAGATGGTCAGTCAGACCTCAGCCAGTGGTGTCTGAGGATCCCTCAGTAGGGGGGTATTTGATAAGTTAGAGGAGTAGATGGTCAGTCAGACGCCAGACAGTGGTGTCCGAGGATCCCTCAGCAGGTGGGTATTTGATAAGTAAGAGGAGTAGATGGGCAGGCAGACCTCAGACAGTGGTGTCTGAGGATCCCTCAGTAGGTGGGTATTTGATGAGTTAGAGGAGTAGATGGTCAGTCACACCCCAGACATTGGTGTCCGAGGATCCCTCAGTAGGTAGGTATTTGATAAGTAAGAGGAGTAGATGGGCAGGCAGACCTCAGACAGTGGTGTCTGAGGATCCCTCAGTAGGTGGGTATTTGATAAGTTAGAGGAGTAGATGGTCAGTCAGACCTCAGCCAGTGGTGTCTGAGGATCCCTCAGTAGGTGGGTATTTGATAAGTAAGAGGAGTAGATGGTCAGTCAGACCCCAGACATTGGTGTCCGAGGATCCCTCAGTAGGTAGGTATTTGATAAGTTAGAGGAGTAGATGGTCAGTCAGACCTCAGACAGTGGTGTCCGAGGATCCCTCAGTAGGTGGGTATTTGATAAGTTAGAGGAGTAGATGGTCAGTCAGACCCCAGACAGTGGTGTCCGAGGATCCCTCAGTAGGTGGGTATTTGATAAGTTAGAGGAGTAGATGGTCAGTCAGACCCCAGACAGTGGTGTCCGAGGATCCCTCAGTAGGTGGGTATTTGATAAGTTAGAGGAGTAGATGGTCAGTCAGACCCCAGACAGTGGTGTCCGAGGATCCCTCAGTAGGTGGGTATTTGATAAGTTAGAGGAGTAGATGGTCAGTCAGACCCCAGACAGTGGTGTCCGAGGATCCCTCAGTAGGTGGGTATTTGATAAGTTAGAGGAGTAGATGGTCAGTCAGACCCCAGACAGTGGTGTCCGAGGATCCCTCAGTAGGTGGGTATTTGATAAGTTAGAGGAGTAGATGGTCAGTCAGACCCCAGACAGTGGTGTCCGAGGATCCCTCAGTAGGTGGGTATTTGATAAGTTAGAGGAGTAGATGGTCAGTCAGACCCCAGACAGTGGTGTCCGAGGATCCCTCAGTAGGTGGGTATTTGATAAGTTAGAGGAGTAGATGGTCAGTCAGACCCCAGACAGTGGTGTCCGAGGATCCCTCAGTAGGTGGGTATTTGATAAGTTAGAGGAGTAGATGGGTAGTCAGACCTCGGCCAGTGGTATCCGAGGATCCCTCGGTAGTTGGGTGTTTAATAACAATTGTATCCACAATTTTTGTTTGGCTTGAAAGAAGAATCCACTTTTGAATTACTTTTGTTATTTATTATAATTCAATCGCAACACAATAAAGGCATGAAACCTTACATTATAATGATCAATTTTACCTCGTACAGGAGAAACAACGATTCCATCTTTGACGAGTTGAATGTACAGGACATGGAGTTAGGGGACGACTTTGGTATCACCGGTAAGTGTTACAGAATGTCAGCTGTTGTCTGTGTGCTGTTTGTATTATTAATCTAACTTACTGAGGATAAATAGGCCACCTGTAAATAATCTTATATAAAGGAACAAACCTTTTGTCTGATTTCTGTGCTTAGCATCGAAGTCATTGATTACACAAGCATATATAAAAGATTAAAATTAAAATTAAAATAACAAATATGGATAAAAGAAAAATGGTTTTGAATAAGTTTCTAGATAAACAATAACAAACAAATATGTTAGAAAGTTGGACATTACCCTGCCTTCAGTCCAAGGAGAGAAAGTTGGACATTACCCTGCATTCAGTCCAAGGAGACGTTATAGTTTCAGCACGTCACTCCTATAATTCAGTGGACAAGCTCAGGTCTTTAATTCACAAGATATTGATTAAATTTTAACGTGTCAGTATTTTCTACACAGATTATTTAAGCTATTGCCAGTATTTGAGGATACCCCACTGCTTCCAATATAGCTGTGTATATGTATGAACAAAGACTTGTACTCTGAACATACCTATAGAGACTTACACTGCTGTCTGCTATGGGTGATGGTTCTAACATCTTATAATGAATGTTGTAGAAATTTACAGCCTGGTCTACATTAAACAGGCCTTAAAACACAGGATAAATGTGGGTAGTGCCAGTCATGAAAATGAAATGTTTAACGATACTATTCCTGGTATAAATGAGTGAGCTCCAGGATTAAAGGATTGTGGGTAGTAAAGATTAAAAAAAATGCCTCCTTGTCCCTATCCAATCCCTCATATTGTCATTTCTAGAATAGCCCTCCGCTAATTTGAATAGATACAAATATTTTTTTTCTATTAATTTATTCCATTTACTATAGCTCCGTCAGTATTTCTTGTGAAGGGTTTGGGGTGAAACTCCCATGAACTATTTGCCGATAGGAAATTTATGATGAAAGCAATGTCAATGTGAACAAAAAGCAGTAAATTTGGTCCAGCAGCAACGCCATGAACGGTCCATCCCAATAGGTAAAACGCTACGTGGGAGAGTGTATTTATTTGTTAAATACCTGTACTGTGTATAGCTCTATATAAACTTGGCCTTGTTGTTAATCAAAGGGAGAGAAGTCACCCCTGGGGATTATGCGTCTTCAGGTGAGAAACCATGGCTACATACGACACAGCACCTGTTGGTGTCGAGAGTTGTGTTCGCCCTCCTGTGTTGTTCTGGTTATATATATTCTGTTTGTTATACAGTATGCTGTTTCTCTATGTCCGAGTTTTTAATTTTGCTTGATGTATGATATTTTATTTATTCTAGATGTAACATTTTTATTATTCTTGCATGTATGTATATATCTGTATATATGTTACTAATGTTGTAGCTCTGTGAATATATTGTAGCTTCTGTAGGGTTTTTTTCTGTTTAGAAATTTTGGGCTGGAACTTGGCCTTATTTCTTACAAGAGTTACACGTTTTTCCTACCAATTTTGGTGGTGAAGAAAAATCCTAAAATGGAGAAGAAAAAGATTCCATCAGAATAAAATTTCATTCCTTGATTTCCTTACGGAATTTGTAACAAGAAGGACTTCCCTAAAGGTTACAAAATGGATAAAAATGCTTCAGTACAGCATCATTGTCCTTGTTTCCCAACATAACGACAAGGGTTAGATCTCAAGATATGTACCAAGAAAACATCCTGGCATGTAAACAACCTACCTCAGCTGTCATAGATAAAAACCTGTGCTGATATATATAGTACTAACAAATCAATTTTCTGTCTGCTTTCATCTATGATCGTGCTCTAGAGAATGTTGGACTGGTGCTATATCTTAATCTCTTATTTCTCACATGCTGCTTAACTATATAAGTAAAGAAAATCAAATTGTAACATTTTAAAAATAATGTTCAGTTCTATTATTTTCAATTGAAATCTGTTTACGTGAGGTTTACAGATAAATGGCCTTTCAAATTGGATTTGCTTATTATTTAAGTAAAAAAAATCAATAATGTAATTCAATCAAGTAGTCACTTTCTTCAGATATAGATTCCTTTAATTTGTAATTACTATGCTATAAGAAAATGCTAGAGGTGTTAATTATGTGATAGACAAGGGGAGATAATATGTTATCGTGTAAGTAATTAAGAATGTAAACACCCCATCTGTCTGTGTAATACCCCATGAAACCAAAATCAGATTGAGCCAGCTGTGGCCAGACGTGGCCAGCGTCTCTATCATCACACAGACAAGTCTGTGATTACTCCGGCTTCTTACAAAGTGGTAGGCGTTAAGTCCCCCGATGTGTCCTTGGTAAGACAGCCCAACAGTGTATTGGATTTCTCGTCAGGAACACAGCAAACGTAATGAAACTATAATAACTCATTTAGGTGAACAGTCCACATGGGTCCGTTGACAAGATTCAGGCCTACTTTAAAGGCAACTCATCATTAGTGTTCCCTAAGGTTTTTTTGGTTTTTTTGTTTTTTTTGAAGGATCATTCAACGACATAGTGATTTATTTATTTACATCAGTTATAATTTGGTATGTTCCAAGATTTTTTGCTCAAATGATTTTTTTTGATTTTTTTAAGTTCATGGAAAAATCAGGCAACCTATAGATTATATAAAAGTAAAGAAATATGGACCCTAAAATCAATGTTTTTGTTGGTATAGATATTATTTCTTCTCTGACTAAGACTTGTTAGTCTGTGTTATTAACCTTTATCTCAGGTAATCTGTCTCTTAGTCCGTCTTATTTACATCTACTTAGACTATAGTAACACAATTACACTAATTTATTCCATTAGAAAATAACCATAGCAAAAGCGTTCATTATTCTGCTATTTCGAATATTGAAAAGAAAATGCCTAGGCAATTTCTAAGGAAAATTGAAGTTAGAATTTTGTTGTTTCACTTTGATAAATACATCGAACAAATGTTTAATTTGTTCTAAAACAGATTATATTAATTTGATCAATTTCTTTGAAGTTGCAGAAGTATGAATTACTGATTCTTGGATTTAGAATAATCTTTTTTGTTGTTGTTTCAATTCTGAGTATTTATGTTGAAATAAAAGAATTTAGTCTTCATTTGATTTTTGACCGTTAGAAATAGAAAAAAAGCATGTTTGCACAATTTTCTTTTTGTTGCTTTGTTTTCTGTATGACGTGTTGATATAGCATGTTTCTGTTTCCTTGTGATCGTTGTGGGCCCACAGACAGTGATGAGGAGAACGAGAGGCGTTCCACTGGTACGGATCACTTGTTTCTCACTTATGTCATCTCATCAGCATCATCATCTGTCCCTCATCTTCCTCATCTTCCTCGTCACTTACCCTCCATCTTCATATTATGCTGCCTCCGCATGTTCATGTCATCTTGTGAAAAACATTTTTGTTTTAAACCTTTGTTTCTGCTGACTGTATTTAATTTGTTTCACTGACACTATAAGTTGCATCATCGTGTGAATTGAATTTTCATCATTGTACTAACTTCAAAATTGTGTAGATTCTGTATATAAATGAAAAGATACTGTCATCAGCGTAACCACACAGAAAAGCTTGATACTAGAAGCATACTGTCAGGTAATGAAATTGTGTCAGGTTTCGTCTTTGTTCTGACCATGGTAACAGAAATATTTTGCGAAATCTTATAATTGATCGGAGAGATGATCATGTCTTCAAAACATATTAATTATTCAGAGGTCACATATAACATTGGTTGAAATGATGAAAATTACAATGTATCACCACAAGAAGAACTATGCTGAGGAACTTTTATTATCAGGTATCAGGATCAATAATCACATCCTATCATTGGCCTCCATTATAAATCTCCACTCCTGGACACGGTGGCTTACCTGTCTCCACAGTAACCGTTTGATGTTGCATTGTCTGATCTCATTTTCATATGTGTGCAGAGGAACCTCATCCATGAGAAAGTTAACACTTAAGATTTAATTTGTTTACCAAATTATTGTAACTGGAATGAAGGTTTAAGGCTGTATGCTACCTTAATGTGACTTGTACCGCCTTTATAAACAATGTTCAACACTAAAACAAACTGGCAGATGTTTCATTTAAAGGAATGGTGGTTAAGATATTTGAAAAATATGTAATACATAGGAATGCATGTATATACTGATGATATTTACATAGTAACACTGTGTTTGATAATATTTATTAGAAATAAAAAAGGGAGACAACTGTAAAAAAAATCACAGCTGTAAAGTATAAGGTAGCATATAGCCTTAAGCTTAAGTTCTCCCTTGAATGTAATTATCATAAAAAATCAAAAAGTATTCAAAATTGTTATTGGTACAACTTGAAGTTCTTCTGTTTACTTTCGTGCTTGAGTTTCAATCTCAGTAACGTTTCTCTTGTCGTCGCATTAACTAGCTTAATTTACAGGCTTTAGCTATGAGAAGTTCTATAAGCCCACGTAACGTTAGTTATCACTCCCTACTGAATGAGAGCTTTAGGCAGAGTCACTCTGTACACCTGTTTGGTAGCTTGTGGCGGTTTATTGTGATGTTCCTCTCCAACAATAATAATGTAGGATTAATGTGTGTTGACTAGGATTTTCTGGATAATCATGAAGCCCTTTCACTGAAAATTTCTGCCTCAAATTATAGCATCATTGTAAAATTATAGCATCATTGTAATTCATGTTAAGTTGTGAACAATTTAGAAAAATGTATTGTGTTAGATGAAATTCTTATTTTGTAAAGTTTCCTTAGATGATTTGAGATTTCAATTTCATTCAAATCTGGGAATTAAGATAATGTTTTCAAAACAAATTCATGTTTGTCTAACATTTCCTCCTGAATTATTCCTGTTTTGACGGCTTGATCTCCCCACATCATTAACCTGTTCACTGCATACTAATAGATATATATATGTGTATATGGTAAATTGAACAGCGCACTTTGTAAGGACTCAAATCTTTTGGCTCTGATTCAAGCAAAGTCAGACCTTGGTGATATGTCTGTTGTCTGTTTGTCAGTAATTTGTTTGTTTTCACATTTTCTACATCTTCTCAAAATAACAGCGAGGCTACACAGTTTGTATGAGTTTATTAAGACAGGGTTTCCTGTTTCTTCAAATGATGGGGCACTGCCTCTAAGATTTCAGATGAGCGACTCAAGGCCCTGTGTCCCTTGAAATAATTTCGGATAAAAAGTAATGTGATTGTAATATTTTGTATCCTCCAAGCTGATTATAAACTCATGTACATGTTCACATCATTGCATTAACCATTCGATTCACTTATCATTGACCAGATGTGTTTGATAATCACATGTAGAATATTAATTTTATACATTGTTTTATTTCCTTTTTGCCTCTACAGTTAGTGATAATTTCTTTGGTAAGCAGTTTATACTTGAACTGTATATTAAACCTTTCTTTGTTAGCACTTTTTACTGCCTTTTATTGCTTCTAATTAACTGACACAATAAAACTAATTAGAACCTTGTTCAGGCTGACAATTTGTTTTCAGAAATAATGGATTTTTTTTACACAAACAACAGTTCTGGTTGTGTGTGGGTTTTTTAAATGAAACAAAAATCTTGATTGGTTTCAAATTGTGAAGTTCCTTTGTATAACTGTAAGGAAAGTGCATTCTACAAAATACTGTTGACAAATGTTTCTGAAAATTATTGTCTGGACGGCAAGGTTCTGTGTTAGAAATATGGCTGTGCTTTATTCCTTACTGCATGGTCTTAAATCACACTGTAGGTACAGTACTTCCAACATGTTCAGAGTGTTTAAAGACAATTATATCAGTTGACAGAAATAATGATCTTTCAAGACAGCATATTCTGATGATCAAATAAAAATTAATCCAAATGAGGCTTGATTATGGTGTTCCTTGGCGATAAAACCTCAGAGATTGTGGACAAAAAACGTTTAGTTAAAGCTGTACTAAATTTACTCTATGGAGAGTGCCAGCCTCTCTCTCAATAACCAGGTATTACACTGAAGTGATAATAGACCTAGGAGAACATGTTGGCTGTTACTGTGGTCCTAGGCTGTAATCGGCATCAGCACACTGTCGACGTCGTTGTCACGTGTAAGGGCAATCCAAATCTGGCAACAGCGTCAATCACTCTCCCTTCGTGCCGAACACACATTATCTCCAGCCATAAAGCCACTGTTGTTTTGAGCAACAATGAAAACAGCGATGCAGTCAATGCCTTACATTATGGAAATTCTATCTATAACTGATTCAATCAATTCTGCTGACTGTTCCAACTTCACAAATGCATGGAATGCAATTGCAGAAAGAATGTGATTGGTTTTTTTCTCTTTGTGAATGCTTTGCTAAAAATAGACATCCTCAAACAAACCTTTTTTTTTCTTTTTTCTTTTTTGACCGAGTTGTTTTTTAAACCGTTTTAAATGATTATGTTTTTGAAGGCTTAATGAAAGCATTCATTTGTTTTTTGCTAGAAAGAACTATTCTTTTTGGCTTACCGATTTCCCCCTAGGATGGTTTGAAATGTCTGTTTTGGTAGATATGTCCTTGTTGGATGGTTCTGCAGTCTTTATTTTCGGTATTTCCTTTTACACAAATTTCACGTCTGGAAACAGATACAAGTTTGACAGTGGCACAAGTCTGTTTTCTGCTTCACATTCGCACACCGGTGATGTAACTTATGTTACCAACTTCTTAATGACAAGATAAAAACCTACACCCTGATCTCTGGTTCTGGTGGAATGTTACACTGTATAGGGAGAGGTTTCTGTTGTTGCATACAGAAAACCCTTTTGAGAAAACACTTCACTAAAAGAACCAGAATTCATTGATGTCTCCACTGGTATGGACATACAATGTAGACTGTCTATATCAGGTTCCACCTATAGCTACAGGAACAAATATTTCTTGGGTCCCAAGGAGTTTTAATGTGTTATACTGTAGTCGTGTTTTTGTGTCAGTGGCCTTATATACAGACATTTCACCCAAATGTCTCCACGCCTTTAAGCTTGTGGCCAGTAGTACTAAGTCTTAATACCAGATATTTCCCCAAAGCTCCACAAACATTTGATCATCTAGGACTTCAGTTTCCCCCAACACTGGTACTCTATAGCTTACTCACCTGGTCGTGGTCAACCAGTACTTGTTGTATATTGGGAATAATTTAAGTGGTGGAAAATGTGGTGGAGTTATGAATATAGAAATAGATTTAAACAACCAGGAATGCTTTAGTATTCTATATACTGATCACAGCTTTATGACGAGCATGAAGGATCTTTAATAATATTGTATTTTTGTTAATAATATTGTATTTTTGTTAATAATATTGTATTTTTGTGTTGGCTTGTTTATGACGTTATAACATGAAGGGATTCATTTGTGGTAATGTTTTATTTTGTTCTGGCTTTTTGGTGTCGCTGTGATGTATAGGAATTCATTCGTGATGTTAAATATTTCTTTATCCTGACTTTTTGGTGTCCTTATGATGTACAGGAATTCATTTGTTAGGTTTTATTTTTGATCGTGGCTATTTTCAGTCCTTAATAACTCCTAAATCCTTGGTTTTGCTTGCATTTGTAGTGCAATGAAAATTCTGCAGTGTGTGTTTGCTTAAACATTCTACTAAATCAGGTTGCTTTGGTTTATATACTGATAGATATAGGATTAACGTGATGCTGTATTGTATTGCCGAGTATCTACCCTATTTTATAAAGACAAAATCTGGGTCCTCACCCCTGGTAACTGGTATTGTTATTTATATGGGATCTCATTTATAAAGGGTCTTTTATATATCTGAGTTAGGTTGTGATGATTACAGGTGTAAGTGATACATGTATATATTGTTTATCATTACATTGACGATACTTTACTAGGGCACTCATAACAGCATGGTACGCTATTGGTATTTATTTTATTGTAATAATCTATAAAAAATATACGTTACAAATTGAAACTTACTGGTATATTGTTCATAGTTGATTAAATCAATTATTTTTCTTGTATAATTAAAGCATGCTGTCTTAGAAAACTTAAACTATTGATAAGTGAAGGCACTTTTAAAAGCTTTTTAATGAACTTGTAATGAAGTATTTCTTGGCATGCAATCCTAACATGATTGTGTATAACTTCTTGTGTTCTTTCCCGTCTCAACTTTGAGTTCTTTAAGTTCATTAGACAAAAGTCCTGTTTTTAAACTCCTCCTAAATATGACAAACACCATGCCACATGAACACCTAGTATTTAGTACTCTGTCTGTGTCCTTACTTGCCATCTGTCTTTGGTAGATGGAGATTAAGGGACCAAATAGAAGCAATCGGACAAAAACAGGTGGAGAATCCTACAGCAGGAGTCTCTTTATAAAACAAGTGTTAGTCTGGTCAAATCCTCCATCTGTGTTAAAATTGTTCTTAGCTATGTGACCACTATAAGAGTTCTTAGCTATGTGACCACTATAAAACCCAATGAAAGTTAGTTCCGTTTGTGATTCTCAAGTCTGGACTCCAATGCAGTGGAGTGAATTTGTTTTGCAGTTGGTAATATTTCAGATATTATTTTCCGATCAGTAAAGTATCATTAATATATTCTATGTGTGAGTAGAGTTTTTTCTGTGGATAGTTCAGTGTGCATGTGATGGATGTAGCTGTCCTCAACAGCTGGTCCTCCCCATCGTTATATAGATAATCCCAATATGTCGCACAGTCTCCACCAAGTCTGGCTAATTCCTCTCCAAAACACACACACATGTCTAAATATATCTCTGATTTTACACTACACAACGTGTGGACATTTTCCTTCATGATATGTTTTTGTAATAAGATCATAAACTTGTGAGTTCGTTTTCAAGTTTTATTTTTATTTTTTTCATTTCTTTTGAATCTGTTGAGTTTGTGTTTAAATAACCAATTCATGAGAGCTAGCCCTGTGATAGTTAACTAGAAACCTGTCAGACAGAGCGCAAGCTAGCTAAGGTAGCTAGAAACCTGTCAGACAGCCCGAGCTAGCTAGCTAGAAACCCGTCAGATAGAGCCCGAGCTAGCTAAGTAGTTAGAAATCTGTCTGACAGAGCCCGAGCTAGCTAAGTTAGCTAGAAATCTGTCTGACAGAGCCCGAGTTAGCTAAGTTAGCTAGAAATCTGTCTGACATAGCCCCATCTAGCTAAGTTAGCTAGAAATCTGTCAGACAGAGTCTGAGCTAGCTAGGTTAGCTAGAAATCTGTCTGACAGAGTCTGAGCTAGCTAGGTTAGCTAGAAATCTGTCAGACAGAGTCTGAGCTAGCTAAGTTAGCTAGAAATCTGTCAGACAGAGTCTGAGCTAGCTATCATAAGCCAACTAGCTGTGTTAATGTTGTCATGTTTTGTCATTCGGTTATCTCAGATGCATGTTGCAATGCAAAATTGATGTGCCTGTGAATTAAAATAGCATGATGAGGACTCCATTACACAATGAAGATGACATTAAATGTAGCTGTGTTTGGTATTAAATCTCTTCATTTCATTTAAAGGAAAAAAGTTCACTTCATTTATACCAATGTTAAAAGGAAAATATGAAATAAAATATTCTAAATTTTCTTCAAATGAATCGCATTCTCTAGATCTAATTCAATAACTTTCTGACTCTGAAATTCTATTAAGACAACTCGGCATGGCCTTCACTTTAATTAAGGAGCTGTTAAAAATGTGTTGATTGCATTTGGAGAGTGTGATTATTGCTTTGTTAGGAATGTGACAAGGTGATTTATCATGTTGTAGGAATGGGCAAAGAGCTGGAGAACCTTATACTGGAGAACACGGAACTGCTGGAGACAAAGTGAGTGATGACACGTACCCTAGGCCCACCGGGTTAGGTCGTTACAGATTAACCTGTACACCGCAAAACATTTATATTTCAAAACGTTTTATTTTTACGTTAATTCCCATGAGGAGTGACTATCGTAAATTCAAAATATCTCACAAACATTGAGAGATTGGCGCACCTTCTATAAGTGTATGATACTTAAACATACTTTCTGATGATTATCGTGTGAAGTTATCAATAGCGTATTATTTAATAAGTTTGAACTTAAAACACTTATTTTCTAATTATTACTATATGAAAGAATACATTTTTATTCATAAAATGATTTTTTTCATTGATTTAAAATATTAAAGTGATATATTGTTTGTTTGTTATTAAAACCATTAACATCTAAAACTAATGATTATTAATAAATAAATAATTAAAATGTAATTTGATAAAAAAAGATTAAAAAAATTGAGGTTTTGAAATTGGAAGTATTTGAAATTGAAACTTTGATACATTAATGTTTGTAAACTGTTTGTTTGGACATTTTATTACCCAGGTGCAGACGGACTGAAGAAATAAAGCAAGGCGTTGTATCTTAACATTGTTGTTATTCTTTCTTTTCTTTTTCCAGAAACGCCTTGAATATCGTAAAAGATGACCTTATCGCTAAAGTTGATGAACTGTCAAGGTAAAACCCTTACTTCAATGGCTGTTGACTTACCGTCACCGATTCCTGTATCTCTAAAATGCTGACCCTTTCAGACAATGTTTTCTTTTGGCTATGACTTAAGTTTTACTCGTTAAAATATTCGAAAATTAAAAGGTCATGGAGAACCTGGAAAGACATTGTTACTTGTTTTGGTTGAATAAATACACATTTGTTCATATATTTAAACTGAAGTAAAATAACAAACAGAAGAAATTGTTCTTATGACCTAAAACTTACAGGTTTAAGATTACTGGTATCGTGTGATAATAAACATGCTGTGTTCTGACAGTGAACAAGAGGTCCTTCGCGAGGACATCACATCCCTCCAGGCGATCAGGACTAAGCTACAGGGCCGAATCAAGGACCTGGAAGATGACCTCAAGAAGACGAAGGAGGAGTTGGAGAAAAAGTCCTCTGGAAACAAAGACGAGGAGGAGGTGAGTACAGTGAACAGTACACCCCCGTCATTTAGGAAGAGGTGAGTACAGTGAACAGTACACCCCCGTCAATTAGGAGGAGGTGAGTACAGTGAACAGTACACCCCCGTCATTTAGGAAGAGGTGAGTACAGTGAACAGTACACCCC